TTCAGCGATTTGCCGAAATATAGGCATAGTTTTTTGCATTACAATCAACACGGGTTGCACGTTTTCTAGGTTTTCGATCTGATCGTCTTCATCCAAGTCCGTGTTGAGCGATGAAAATAATGTTGATATCATATTCAGTCGAAAAATGGTTCGTATCCTCGTTGCTGGCGTTTTCTTAAAAAAAAAAATGGAAAACCCAGATTGGAACAGTACCTAAATAGAATCACACTTTTCCTCCTTACACAATCATTTTGACAAATGGTCTGCAGCTCCTCGAAGCATGGGCCAACTATAATATCTAAATAGTTGGGTATATTAGTGGCTGGAAGCAAACTCATAAGTTTTCCAATGCTATACATTAAACGCACACAATCAGAATTTTTCATCTGGCCTGAGGTTAACGAAGTATGGCAAGCATTCAAAAGTGGTTCAGCGTATGGTTTCATTTGAAGTTGGCAATCACAGCAGAGCTCCTTAAGCCCTAAAGTAGCTTGAGCAGACATATTAGAATTCAGTCCTCGCACTAACAGTTCAATAGCGGGGGGTATATACGTCGGATTCTCTTTTAACCACTGGCAGTAAGAACCAACAGTCTCCAGGGCGGTGCCGAGCAACTTTTCATTCATTTTATTGTAAGGAATTTCGGATAGAACACGCATCAGCTTTGGAATCTGCTTTAATTCTTCTCCTGCAAAATGTTCTGCTACGGATTGGAATGAATAAATGCAAGCCTCAAGTTTGGTCCATTGTGTGGGATTATTTTGCAACTCAGCAATAGTCTCATCGAGTACTGTAGCCAGTATATCGAGTATATACTCATGTAAAACATCATAACAGTACATCTGAAAGGGTTTTTATAAATGATAATTCAATATGGTAGTACAATACTTACGAATGTATCTGATATGTCTTGACGATAGCAACGAAAACTTTCCAAATCATCTGATGTCCATTTCTCAATAGAATTGTCATCAGGTTGTTCTGATTTGCGAACTAATATTCGAGTCAAATGTGCATATAATGGTTTTATATATTCCCAACACTTCATGCGTTCCTCTTCATTGTGCATAGCAAACACCTCATCTTGTAACAAATACCAAAACCCCATAGCCATGCTGCTACATGACTCTTCTACTGGGTATATTCCCGGTTTATCTGTACATTGCAGAATCTCATTAACAAGACGACCATAGAGAACAGACAGCTCTGGGTCGGTAGTTGTTATTCCACTCAACAGAAGCTGTGAGTGCCTTTCAACGGCAGATACAAAGAGTGTGTAAATATTAACTACAATGTCTTCGTTGTTATTATCACGTTTCCATTCCATTTTGGTGATATCGCATAGCGAGTCTAAAAACATTCGGATCAATATAAATGCCGTTTTAGGATAGGAATGACAATCCGGTTGAATAATTATGCTAAGTAAGGTTTTTAGGCACGTTTCGGCTAATTCATTTTCATCAGCAGACATACATCCATCCCCATCTGAATCCTGAATACAAGGCCAGTAGCATTTGTTCGTCAATTTAAGCAATATTGCTGTAATATTCTGACAATTTTCAATGGAAAACCCGATATGTCTGCATAAAAAAGCAAAATTTTTATAGCAGGTCTTAAGCTGTAACTTTGAAAAATGAGTTAAAACATTTACTTACTTTACCCATGTACCAACACATTTAACAGCTCGAGTCATATTGCTAAAGCATTCGCTGTCCCATTCACGATCCAATTGCATTTTTAAATAAGCTTCTGTTGTCTCCATTACTAGTTGGGCGCGTTTCGCTACTTCTGCACGCAATGTCGTTCTTTTGACCGACGTGAAAATTGCTTGCATCTGTTTGAAAAGATCTTTAATGAAAATTAATGTGGCATATTATTTAAAAAATAGTGAACCCAACTTCTTCTGGTATAGCTTGAAGAACTTCCAACATTATCCATAATTGCATTTCTTTATTGACGTTTGGTATCTGCTCATTCTGAAAGGTGTTTATGACATCTTCTATAGCTGTTGACCATTCTCCAAGCATATGCACAATGAAAGCGCTGAGCTGTAGATCAGTATTATTACATTAAATATAAACACGTTTAAAATTAACTTACAGCAATGCACAATCGGTTAAGAACTAATTTAGGGCCACAAGCGAACTGTACAATTTTTTCTAAAATTTTTTGTTTCAGTTCATCGTGATTTTCCCGAGGTACCTCATGCCAATACTTCATTAGTTTAGAATGTAATGTAACGGCCCCAAAGAATTGGACTTCTTGACTCTAAAAATCAATTTCATATGTGAAAATTTATAATATTACTAATAGATAACGAGTAATTATTATAATTATACATATTTTTCACCTTGCCAAGTTCCATTAGCTGCCACGAAAATTGCCATGCTTGTGGACTTGTTTGTGCCTTAGTAAGCCAGTCATGTGTTATAGCTTGCTGTTGAGAAGTTGATCGATAAAAGACAACAACTGCCTCCTCCAAGCGCGAAATATCAATTGGTTCCATATTTTGGGTTAATCCAGTGCCACAAGTTAGTTACTTTAAGCGATATTATGGTTTGAGGAGCTTCTAATACACTTCTATAAGTAAAGGGTGGTGTCGCGAATACGTTCGCCCCTTCCTTATTACCAGGAATAGTTTTATATTGTATTTTTATTACCCAAAGAGCAGTGATTTCTATTTACCTAATGAACTGATATTACAACTAAGACTTTATAGAATTCTAATAATATATTTATTATATGTATAAAGAACCACTTATAAGAAAATAAAGATAAAGCGGCCTTAATATTTATTGACACTACCAAGCAGAATATATATTTCTAATAAGAACGACCATTCACAATAAATGTGTGGTAGAAAACATGATGCCAGTCTGTAATAATTATACTACTTTATTTTTCAAAATTTTTAAAAGTTTTTTATTTAACAATAGTTAAAACTTTGTCACACCGCTTACATGTATATAAAAACATAATGCCTTTTTAATGGGTAACAACACGTACTACAATTTGAACCTGTCAGCAGTTCTATGCGCTTGAGATCTACGGAACTTGTTAGAAGGAGAAAGGAGAAGTTCACAGCATAATTTTTAAATATTGCTTATTATAAAATACCATATAAATAATATATAAAGAATATATCTCATAACATGGCAACGTATCGTTAAATATTAATGTCAAGCAGTTTGACAGGTGATTGTCGTCATCAGTGCAAATTGTGTGGCACCATAAAGAAAAATTTAATATTTATTTAATTTGTATAAATGTTAAAAAGTTTTGTAAATTTGCTTTAAAGAATATAAGCAAGGTAAACTTAGGGCGAAACTGTTTTTTGTAACGTTTTGGTAATAAATTTCTAGCTTTTACATAGTTATATCGACGTTTTTATTTGTGGGTTATTGTAAAAAAAGATAGAATAATGTCCTCATCAGCAATATACGTGCTGGATGTCAAAGGTAAGGTATTAATATCACGTAATTATCGCGGGGATACAATGGATATGGCTGCCATTGACAAATTCATGCCACTATTAATGGAACGAGAAGAAGAGGGTCTGATAACCCCTATATTGCAGACTGCTGATCAGTAAGTACAATATAATTATTTGCTTAAATTATAATGAACTGAGTAATTTTAAAATTTATCCAGCACCTTTGCGTACATTAAGACGAACAACCTGTACATTGTTTCAACTACTCCGCGAAACAAGAATGTTAATATTGTATTGGTTTTTGTTTTTCTACATAAAATTGCACAAGTTTTTGTTGAGTATTTTAAAGAACTAGAAGAAGAGTCAATTCGCGATAATTTTGTAATTATTTATGAACTACTTGATGAGTTGATTGATTTTGGATACCCACAGACAACAGATTCGAAAATATTGCAAGAATACATTACACAAGAAGGACATAAATTGGAACTTCAACCCCGCCCACCTCTGGCGGTTACCAACGCTGTTTCTTGGCGCTCTGAAGGTATTAAATACCGTAAAAATGAAGTATTTCTTGATGTGATAGAATCAGTCAATCTTTTGGCCAACGCAAATGGGAATGTATTAAGAAGTGAAATAGTAGGAGCCATAAAAATGCGGGTGTACTTGTCTGGAATGCCTGAATTACGATTGGGATTGAATGATAAAGTATTATTTGAGAGCACCGGACGCGGCAAATCAAAGTCAGTTGAATTGGAAGATGTGAAATTTCATCAATGCGTACGTTTATCTCGATTTGAGAATGATCGTACTATATCATTTATTCCACCCGATGGTGAATTTGAATTGATGTCCTATCGGCTTAATACACATGTAAGTAGAACCATAATTCGACAAAAAAATTATGATGCAAATACTGATTGTCACCTTACATTATGTTTACACGAATAGGTAAAACCTTTGATTTGGATTGAATCTGTTATTGAACGTCACGTCCACTCCCGTGTTGAATACATGATAAAGGCCAAATCGCAATTTAAACGACGCTCTACTGCGAACAACGTAGAAATTGTCATTCCCGTTCCCGCAGATGCAGATTCTCCTAAATTTAAAACAACTATTGGTAGTTGTAAATATGCTCCAGAGCAAAACGCCATAATATGGACAATTAAATCCTTTCCTGGTGGTAAGGAGTATTTGATGCGTGCACATTTTGGACTGCCAAGTGTTGAAAGCGAAGACAATAATGAAGGAAAACCACCAATACAAGTTCGTTTTGAAATTCCTTACTTTACAACATCGGGCATACAAGTTCGGTATTTAAAAATAATTGAGAAGAGTGGCTATCAAGCGTTACCTTGGGTTCGCTATATAACACAAAACGGCGATTATCAACTTCGTACTAATTAAGATGTCAACGGAGAAAATAAATATACAAATACAACTGTAGTTTAAGCAAAGCGTATTGCACCCATTTTCTGTTTCCGCAAATCTGTCGAAATGTGTAATAAAAAAAAACCATTCCATTCAACAAAAGTTTGTTATGCACTGCTATTAAAAAACTTAGTTTTAAAATATTTTTTCGTAATTGTCTCTCACATTTAAAGCACCATATATCGTGCAATTTCCGACAGCGTAAATATTTTATTCTGTATGTACTTATATTTTTTAACAAATTAATCAAGATTTAATTTAAAACTTTTACAAACATGAATAATATATTATTACTCAATAATATAACGATGTTATATTTATTCCTATCTGTGGCAATGTGCTTTCGTTAACATGTAGGTAAGTTTTCGAATAATTTCTTAAAACTAATAAATGCATTTTGAGTATCACAAGCTATGACAAAGATATGCAACAACTGTTTCAACCAACCACCAAAGACCACTTTAACAAAATTGAAAACCATACGGCGTAAAACGTTTTATGTTATAGTAGAGAGGTTACTGAGAAGATAATAAACAAAGAAATTTGTAGTTCCCTAGTGAACCTTTACGCTTTAAAGTTCTTTACAGGATAGTGGTTCCTATGTGTATTTATGTGAGACTCCAATTCTTTCATTTGTTCCTGTAAATGTGAAGGTATTTCAGAGTAAACACCTTCGAACATTTCTTTCCAGTGAGGCTTAGGCTTTTTTTCTGATACTGTAATTTGTTTCAAAACTTTTTTCCGTACGTCTTTTACAAACTCTTTTTCTTCATTTTCATTAAACCATCCTTTGCGAACCATGTAGCTCTTTAGTTTGGATAAAGGATGCTCCTTTGAATTCCATACTTCGACTTCATCAGCAGGTCTATAAGCGGTGCTATCGTCTGATGTCGAATGGTGACCAACACTTTAAATTATAAAAAATAAAATTACATCAACAATTAAGGCATACAAATCATACTTTACCGGTATGCCATGGACTCAAAAACAACTGGTTTGTTTTCGCGAAGCACATATTCACGAGCAAATTTCATAGCGTTGTAAACGGCGAAGACGTCTGTTCCATCGACACGAATTGTTGCCATGCCATAACCATGAGAACGTGCTGCGATTCCATCTCCGTTATATTGTTCGTGAGAAGGAGTAGAAATTGCAAATCCATTGTTTCGGCTGAAAATATTTTATTAATTCAAGTGAAATCCACAAAATGTAGTTTAAAATACCAAAACATTATAACTGGACATTCCAGCGTTGCTGCAAAGTTAAAAGCAGCATGCGCATCACCTTCAGATGCTGCCCCTTCTCCGAAATAACACACAACACAAGCATCATTATTGGTACGTAACTTCATAGCATATGCTGCACCAACAGCTTGTGGCATTTGAGTTGCTAAGTAGTAAATATTAAAAATATATATTTTAGACATAGGTCTATCCTAGGAAAAAAAACATACCCAACGGGCTAGAGATGGTGACAAAATTCAATTCTTTGCTTCCATAATGTACTGGCATTTGTTTGCCACGGCCGTCATCATCACAGTTACCATAGCATTGATCTATGAATTGATCGATGCGAAAACCACGCCAAACTAATACTCCAGCCTCCCTGTATTGGCCATATATCAAATCACGCATTTCTAAAGCAGCTGCGCTTCCAATATGCGATGCTTCTTCGCCAAAATTCGTCATGTAGAATGATATGCGTCCCTGGCGTTGAGACTCGTATAGAATTTTGTCCATAGTGTTAAGTTGGACCATATCATTAAACATCTTTTGTACTATTTCCTTACTTAACTGGGGATCTTGCGAATCGTCGGCAATGTATCCGTCACTGTCCATGACCCGGTAAATAGGAATGGCGCCATAGTCAGTATGTTTAATCAATTTTAAATTTGAAACGAAGGGTGCTTTTGCACCAGGAAATTGTGATTTATCATCCGTTGAAGTAGAACTACCATATCTATTTTGAATGTTTGCATTATCTAGGGACTGTGTACAAAATATAATAGATTTTTTTCAGTAAATGACCTTCCGACTCACCATTGACCGCTTTGCCAATACACCATTACCAACACGAGCGAGGTGTTTTGACGTTTGTCGAATTAAGGACATAACGGAAGGTTGATTCCTAAATAACAATTATTAACGGATAATACGAAAATCAAACCGTACGAATCAGGGATAATCTCTGGTACGAATACACAAGGACGTAAATATGATAATATAGTGTTAACACTTACATAACAGCATGGTATAAGGCATAACCAGAGAACGTATATCATGGTATAAGGCATAACCAGAGAACGTATATCATGATATCCGGAGCATGTGTTAGTTCACAATAGCAAACGAAGTAGCAATGCTATTTTTAAACTTGAATAATAAAAAAACATAAACATATAGAAGTAGCTTAAGAGGATTATGCCAAATTTCTAATGCATTTAATACTGACATAGAATTTTAACGAATAGAGGATATTTTCATTAAATTTCTCTGGCAATATATTCGTGTGTAAACGAAGCCTATGTTAACAGTTCGTTCAGTATACTTATATACATATACATATATATATTTGGCGTTAACATGCTTATGTCCAAAACATGCGTTCTTAGCATTTTTGGTGAAAAATTAGCTCAAATTTATGATTTCTTAATGAATAATTGCGGAAGTAATCAATGAAGATTATTTTTATTGTATTCCGAAATTGGGGGGTTTATTTTTGGATGTATCCGCATAATGAATACCAGTATTAGTTCACCACACTAAAAGTACTTTGAAATGGAGTCTTTTATTACGGAAAAGCAATTTTGGACTGGAATTTTTTTATTGATTAGAAATTACAACGCTGTTAATAAAAGTATATTTGCTTGTGTAGTACAAAAAGTGTTACAAGTAAAAAAAGGAATTGTGCATTTCCTTAAAGTGGATGATACCCAAGTTTCTTGCGATATTTTTGAAATAGGCAAAATTGATGATGCTTCTGTTTCTGAAAAATCTGAAGCAGATCTAATACACGTACTTCGTAGTGTAGTGGAGAACAAAAATATAGAAGAGGAATGCGAGGGCTTTCTAATATTTTATAAATTTCTGACTAAAAAATTACAAAAAAATATTGAAGCTGTGGGTAAAATTGGTACGTAATTTACTTATTGTAATTTTGGACTATTGTCAAGTATACAAAACATTATTTAGATTTGCTAAATAAAACATATACATGCCGATTTAAGTTAAGTGAAGATTTGGATGATTATGCTGTTCAATTTGCTGACAACCACTTAACGGTTGACATACTCACTCAACGTGGTGTTGGAGATAAGAGTACGCGATGGTCAGATTTTATTCTGAAACCAAAACTGTTGAAGTGGAGTACAAACGCAGCTTTGGAAAATTTTTATTCAGTTGACGAAAAAAAGCATACGAAATCTTTGCAGTTGGTGGACTTAGAAGATTATAATAAACTTTACAAGTTGCTTAAGTCCAAATACGCTGAAAAGGCTTTGAATGTAAGAAAGTACACAATTCCTACAAAATATCAACACTTTTCACCTAGTAAATTTATTTATAGATCTGGAACAATGCACAAGAATCTACCGATCCTCTAAAATTCATTTATGAAGACGTAGCCATAGCTGCTTATTTAATTTGTCTATGGCAGCGTGTTGGTTCACCGATTGGTTTCGCCGATTTGGGATGTGGAAATGGCTTACTAGTACATTTACTCTCTGAGGAAGGTTTCAATGGTTGTGGTTATGATGTTCGACGACGTAAAATTTGGGGTTATTACTCAGACTCCACACGCTTAATTGAGCAAACAATTGAACCTTTAACGTTTAAGCTGCCAGAAAATGTAGACTGGCTGATTGGTAATCATTCTGATGAATTATCGCCATGGATACCTTTCTTAAGTGCTACTAGTAGCTATCAGATGCGTTACTTTCTACTTCCATGCTGTGCTTACGAATTTTCAGGTGCAAAGTTCCAACGTCGCAATACGGGTATAAGTATATATCAAGATTTTTACTCATATTTGAATATTATTTCACAAAATTGTGGTTTTATAACGTTAAAAGATAGATTAAAAATACCGAGTACAAAACGATTAGCTTTAGTTGGAATCGAACGTTCATATGAATCGAACTTTAATGAAAAGCAAATGCAACACATTGCAAAGTTTGTTAAAGAAGAGCGTACTAAATATGGAAACAACATTTCAATTGTTGATATAAAATTACGCGAATCACATGAAAAAGTTCGAAATTGTACACAAATAAATAAAACAATTATAGATGCCTTAATTTTAAAAATATTCCACCAGTTATTATCTCCTGGAAATAATACAATAAGAACAAGTAATGCTGAAAACTGTAAATGGCGGTCTGGTGTTCGCTTGCCTATGAGAGATATTGCTCAAAATCTAGCTAAAAGTGATTTGAAAAGTATCAAAGCTGAATGCGGTGGTATTAAAACCTTACTACGAAATAAACATGAAATATTTGAGTTTCATTGTGGAGACTTAATTGGAATAAGGAAACCAAAAGCTTTTGTATCTCAATCTCAAGGCAATCGCCAGACTATTAAAAAACGTTCCTGTTTTTTTCACGTGCATCACCCAGATGGATGTCCTTTATCGGCCGAAATATGTACATTCATTCATTAAAATATTGCCTTTTTAATTATGGTAACCCAATTTTATATTTGAATAAGTTTTTAATGAAAGTTTCTATTTCTGATTTAAAATATAAATTTTGGTTACACATTTAGAAATCATAAAATGCAGTTTTTACATTTCTTTTTTAAAGGTGTCTTAAGCCATTACGGTTTACAGATGATATATTTTACAACTTCGGATATTGAAGAAAAATAGTTGAATTTTAAAGGTGTATACTATAATTCAATACATTCACAATTCTGATTTTATATAGAACATCAAGTAGACGACTTTGACGTAAACTGCAAGTAGATAAATTTAAATAAAAACTTGAACAAGTTAGAAGTCAAGAAATTTGTTGTTGACTGCGTAGTGTGATCTTTAAAACTTGCACAGTAATTTGTTTATTTGTCCATTATCCGTTAACGAGAACTGTCCGAGCTATTGCTACGTCTGCGACGGCGAATTGGTGAACGGGAACGTCGCCGTGGTGAACGTCTACCACGCGGGGGTGAGCGCCTACCACGATTGTTGAATCTGTTGAATTGAGGCGGCGAACGCCATCTTCCTACCGGGCGCCGCATTATGGGTGAAGGACGTCTAGCAGGTGCACGTATTTTTGGTGTTAACACCGGTGACACAGTAACTTCTTGCCCATCAATTTGTCCTCCATCCATCTGCTTCATGGCAGCTTCACATTCCTCTGCTGTTGCATACTCAACGTATGCAATACCACGTCCAAATGAAGGGTGATAACGGTCGGTTGGGAATTCTACATTTTTCACCTCTCCGAAGCAACTGAATATCTCAACAACATGTTCTTTTGTAACGTTGCGGGTTAATCGACCAACATGTATTCGAGTGGGTTTTGGTGTAGTTGAGCGTGAGCGCGAGCGCTCACGTCGTTTTGTTGCAGGACTGCGTTCGCCTGAACTGCGTACACGACGCCGTGGAGAACGTGAACCCGAACGTGAACGACGTTCACGCTCGCGATCTTTAGAACGTTCACGTTTAATATTGGAAACGTCTCCAACTCCAACTCCACCGCCGCGATCATTTGATGTGCGTCGCACACGTTCCTTGGATCGGGAACGTGATCGTCGACGATCTCGTTCATTTCGCTCTCTGTCTCTATCTCGGTCGCGCTCATTACGATCGCGGTCACGTTCCCGTTCGCGTTCTTTAGAACGGGAATTATCTTTACGTGCCTTGCTAGTGTCTCTTGGAGATTTTGAACGACGCGGGGAATGAGACCCACTCTTTCGTGCTGTGTTTGAGTTACCTGCTCCGCCACGGCGTCTATTATTTACACTGCGATCAGAATCGGTTGAAGATGAAGTCGAAGACGATGATGAACCGCTAGAACTTGAAGAGCTTGAACGTGATCCTGACCCTGAAGTAGTTCTTGAAGAACTGCTATCTGACGAACTGATAATAAATAAAACCTTATTGTTTTGTTAATGTTTTGATCCGGAGGAGACTCACCTGCCGCTACTGTCGCTGCTAGATGATGCCGAACCTCGTCTCCTGCGGTCACGTTCTCGTCCACGGTTAGAATTCGATGACGAACTAACTTTTGGCTTAACATCTTTTGTCGACGATTCTTTTACATCCTTTCCCTCTTTTTCTACTCCGGCAGATGGCGAACGCTCATGAGCCCTATTTAATGAACGATATGTTACAAAGTAAATTGTTTAAAATAAATTAGAACTTAAACAAAAAACATTTTGTACTTACATGTTTATTGAAAAGTAAAAGTTAGATACGTTTTAGAACTGTTTCAGGAATAATTTACCGACGACTTAAAGTTTTCACTAAAATGGCTACAACCAAAGCTAATACTTCGCGTTTGTTTGACGTTTTGTTAACCGGTATAAGTGTGAAAAGGACGGCTATGGGTCTCATTTCGATTTCGAACACTTCATATAACATTGCCAGACAAGCAGTTTTTCGAATAATGGATATAAATTTTCTGAACAACGATAATCTGAACAAGATGTCGCTGAATTTAAATCCGTTTCAGTTTCTGATTTAATTTTATAATCATATTGGTTAATATATTAATTTATATGAAATTTAACTATTTATTTGATCTTATAAGCAGTACAAAGTTTTTGTGATTGAAAGCCGGCCTGGTGAGGGGTTGTGTGGATAAGAAGGAGGGCAGAGAAATAATCCCAGCGGTCAACTAAAGTTTCTAGGATCGAATGGAACCTACTCTTATAGGGAAAAGCCACCGTATGATGCGGTTAATCCTAAAAAGAATTTTATGAACACAATAAAATCTGGTAGTACTACCCTAATGGCTGATCACATACAATTTTAGCTTCAGATTTTTGCTTTGAAAGATAAGTTCGATATATGCTTTTGTATGAGTTCACATAAATTTGTCAATTTTGATATTTTTTAACAAATATTTGCAATCCAACAAAAGCACTCCAGTTTACTTAATACATCCGTGATTTGTTCAAACGTGAAACTTGGTTGTTTCCATTGTATAAATGTACTATAAGCTAATACAATGGTTGTTTCTTTCTCTCATGCAACGTTTAGTATGAGTGAAGAAAAAATGTAAATTAATGCATATGTAGTGAACATTTTTTCAATGTATTAGGACAAGAATGATAGACCTTTTGCCCACCTATTTTGGTTTGGAAGTGATTCTGTTGTTGGGTTTCGCCGTTTCGGTATTATCCATAGTAAATTCACAGATAAATTATCCCTGCTAAATTGAAAGAAATTGTGACACGCTCGGACGTCATGGTAGTATAATTGCGGCAGCTTGAATTGTTTGAAAAAGATTCATGATGATCTGGCATAAATGACATAAATACTATAAGCTATTTGCAAGAATGCGTGCGTTTCAAATGATTATTGTTTTGCTATGCTGCCAAAAGTGCAAAATTATTTGTATATGTATTCTAATTTTAGAAACCGACGAGGAAGATGCAATTGTCAGTGATTCAAATACCCCTGTCAAGCATATACGACCGCAGAAAACGGATGAATCGTATGAATTATATGCGACCAAAACAACAGCATCGTTGGAAACTCCACCAACAACGCCACCTGCTGATACTAGTGATGCTAGCACAAACGCCGATAATCCCAATGTGAGAGAGCGCCAAAAGTTTCACAATATCGAGCATGACTATCACACTTCAGCATATTCGCAATCTGAACCCGACGAAGATTCAAGCTTGGTTTTTTGCAGCGAAGGCGATTTACCGGCAGTCGCGTTTGAGCCACCGTACACAGCGCCTCTTGCACCGTTGCTTACACCAAAAGGGTGGCGGAGAAAACATAGTATTAAAGAAAAAAAGGGCAGTACACGTCGGCCGAAAACTAATATAAAAAGAAAATGCCGATCGCCGGTAACAGCTTCCAAAGATAAATTTAAAAGCTACGACAGCCTCTGTGAGATGTTCTTACAGAATGAGAGATATGCAAATGCATCTGGAGCTGCAGGTAATGATTTTGCAATTGAAGCTTATGCTAAAGATAACGTAAACGGAAGAGGCAAAAGTTACTACTTCGGTAGTAGTGATAATCGTGGTGTTGGTGAATGTGTTGAACTTGATGGCACACAACTACGGAAAAATGAAGAACGTACACACCGAAACTCTGATAAAAGGTGAGACTAATACAGTATATTTGCAACACATTTGTGTATGCAGCTAGTGTGTTGTTTATATTAAATCTCATTTTAAAGTACAAACAAAGAAATAAAATAATGCAAAACAGCTATTTGTGTTAGTTTGACAGGGCTTGCAAATATACCTATCATTATTTTTATACATATGTATATAGTATATTTTTATACTATCGCAACCTGTTGCTACATAGTATAATAGTTTTGTTCACCTAACGGTTGTTTGTATCACCTAAAACTAATCGAGTAAGATATAGGGTTATATATGTATATATAAATGATCAGGATGAAGAGATGATTTGAAATCTGGGTGACTGTCTGTCCGTGCGTCTGTGCAAGCTGTAATTTGAGTAAAAATTGAGATATCTTTATGAAACTTGGTACACATGTTTCTTGGTACCGTAAGACGCTTGGTATTGTAGATGGGCGTAATCGGAAAGTTTCCGCGCCCACAAAACTCCATTAACCAAAAACAAATAAATTGCCATAACTAAGCTCCACAATAAGATACAAGACTGTTATTTGGTAGGGCTTTGGGCTTTGATCCTTGGAAGTTGCGAGAGTATAAAATGTTCGGTTACACCCGAACTTAGAACTTCCTTACTTGTTATATACTACTTATATACATACATTCATACATGCCGAACAAGTATCAGACCGAACAATTTGTTGGATATTGTATCGTTGCCTTGGACATAGATTGCCGAATTTCGCTAAGATATCTATTCAAATAAAAATGTTTTCCATACAAGAACTTGATTTTAATTGTACAGTTTGTATGGAACTTGTTGTTGTTGTAACGGTTATCTAGTCCCCGCTTGGATGATAAGTGATATTTTGGTTGTCGTCGAGGTCATCTAACGGGAGGCAAAAGAAACAGGCTGTTTCGACGGGGTCGGACCATAGGGAAAAGGGTGTTAGATGAGTTGATTTTGTTGGGCATCAAAAGAGGTGGTTAGTATCATGCGGAGCCTCATTGCACGCAGGACATATTTTTGGAACGTCGGGATCTATTCTGGATAAGTATTCAGGTTTCATACTCAGTTTGTTAGTATGGAACCTGCATACCTTAGTGGCATGATATTAGCTGTTCCGACAAATGAGCAGCTTCTTTTAGAGAAAAGGACATGAGCAAACTTTCAAATCTATATCTCAAAAACTGAGGGAATGGTTCGCGTATATACAGACTGACGGACATGACCCAGCTCGTCACCCTGATCGTTTTTATATGTATATTTTATATTTATTTATTTAAACGCCAATCGGCAATATACGTAGATATAATAAAGAATTCAAGTATTATACAAAAGTAGCTAGGGTATATTAGTGTAATATCTGGAAAATATTCAAATAATTGTAAGTTAATATGTAATTCAGACTTGATTTAGATGTACTTCAGACGAGCAGGTGTCTCTTGGTGTTTTCGGTAAAAGCAGCGTATGTTCCTCCATAGAAATCAATTTCACCTTGAAGTGAATTTACTAATTTAGCCAGTCTATTCTGAGGACCATGGATAACATAATTTTTCTTGGATTTCGATGTTTTTAGTAATCTATTTCGCCTCAGGGTAAGACCAGCAGGGGCGAGTTCAAAACTGTTTAGGATCTCATGAGCATCAGTGATGTTATTGACTAACTTGTAGAAAAAGCAGAGGTCAGCGACAGAATTTACACTGCACCTTTTCAACTTTATCGATTGTCGTGTTAGTGTAGGGAGTGAAGCGAGGATTCCGAAATACATACAACGTAGTACTGGTTAGCCGCTAATGTTGTTTGAAATGTTGAGAGTTTTGTACGCAGACCTCTGACGTTCTGGTAGCGCAGGTGGACGTAAGATACTTTCTTCTTGCTCGTTGAGCGAACGAAAATTTCTTTTAACGATTCTTGGGACACCATGGATATATTTAATTGTGTTACTGCCATCACCACTCTTCACGATTGGATCAAGCTCTTGATGCAAATTTTTCAGATGAAGTTGTTGAGAGGGAGATAGATCAGTCTTGAAAATAAAACCTGAGTTTTCGTCTGTTGGTCTGTATTTGATAATGGAAAGTGCATCGGCTGCTGAGCGGGTGGTAATGTGAAGAGGACGTGTACGTCCAGGTGTAGGACGACCCAGTCTACGTAACTTGAGTTCAGTGGCCTCATCCTTGAGACTGGGAGGCAAAGCTGTGACTAACTTTGTTCTGTCATCCTCTAAACGGTCCTTTCCAGCATCTTTATCAGACTCAGGAATATTTAGGGCAATGACTGGTTTCAGGAGTTTTCGTTCCGATAGTTCAGTGAAAACTGTCCTGGCTGGTAGGCAGCCTCATATCTACGTTTAGCTTGTCTTCAACTGGTGTAAGTCTGTCATCCAGGGCAGAATATTGATTTGAGAACGAGACATGATATATGTACATATATATTTTTTATGTGTATTCAAGTATTAGATACTATTTACTTTTCTTCTTGTTTTAATATTTCATATATTTGTTATAAATAGTACATTTGTTATCATATATTTGTAACGTTAAAGTACAGTAACCTTATTCTGATGGCGCCTTTTATCCGAATACGACTTTGCGATGTTCGATCGTACCTCGGATGATGTGAAATATATTTTTTAGAGAACTTCACATCGTACTTATTTCGTTTATTAAATGCGTATTCGCAGCATATATTGATAAATCAATAACAATGCATCAGATAGATTAAATTTTACATCCGGGATGGCACAAGGGGTTTCAAAGTTGTCAAAACTAAGGAACTATTTGATCAATTTCAACAAAATTTGGTACATAAAATTATTTTAACAACCCCCTCTCAATGAGAAAATAAAGAAATCGTACTACAACCAAGCCTACTTCCTATCTAGCACAACTTTAAATTTCATTTTTATTTAAACTTATGGTATACAAATCAAGCACCAAAGAATATATTAGGTAAAGATTTTTCACAAATATTGCTTTTGAGGTATACCATCTCAAGTCTAAAAATTGTCAAAATCGGACCATAACTGTTCAAGCCCCAGTTGGAATATGAGGACCTTAGTCCTGCTAATGTTTACGAAAATAACAGTCAATCTGTGAGACATATTGTAATTCGAAGAGAGTATCTTTCTGATAATAGTAGGGAAGTATGTAAAAATAGGCTAAATCAATACTTTCCTTAGCCCCCATATACCTTATCGTATTTTCGAACTTCTGGTTTACTTCATACCGCATATATCGGCTAATATGTGAGCTATTTCAATAAAATTATAATGCTTCATCTCTGTGTCTAAAATGAGATTATCGGTTTTATCTATTCTTAGCACACATATCGATCAACTAGTTTTTGTTAAAATGGCAGATAAGTAATTTTTAATAATTTATTTTGGAATAAAACCATTCACACATATATTTATATAAATGTAAGTATAAAAGAGGATCAGGTCCACGCGTTGCTGGGGCTAATTACATTAATTATAAATTATTGAATACAGTCAAATTGTATTTATAAATAAAACAAAAACTTTATTTCCGAATTTGAAATCACTTCAAAATGATGAATACCAATTTTTTTTGTTGTTATTAAGTACAAATAAACAAAATATAATATGTGATTTTTAGATTATTAATTTTATATTCAATGTTGGTAACGAATGAGTAATTTTCAAAGTTTTTAGTTGATAACATTTAAAATAATGAAAGAGGGTAGATCAGTCTTAAGGAGTATTCTATCTAGAGACATGAATTGTGCAAAAGCACTCATGGTGTGCAACCGGCTTGTTGGGAAATTCTGGTGCTCCCAGGACTATCAGATGGATGTACACCATGATTGTAAGACCGATTATCACGTATGGAGAGTATCTTGGTTCTAAAGCATCGCAGACTTCGGTAGGACTTCGACTATCGAGGCCGCAACGACTTGCCTGCATCTGCGCGTCGGACGCGATGCGTACGTGTCCGACGCAGCACTGGAAGTAATGCTAGACACCGTTACATATAGTGATCGAGCAGACGGCCAAACAGACCTTGATTCAAATGTCAGCAGAAGGGTTTGGCAAAGGGAAGGTAATCTCGTCCCAGCAGATGAAGGCTAAGTGACGCAATGCCACTGGCCCTTCTCCAAGGGACAGCATTAACGAAAATAGTAAGCTTCACTAAGAAGTTCAAAGCCGCCCTTGGCAGCAAGGCGGAATGTAGATTCATCACTGGACCTTGCTAAGGGAAAGCACTATTAATGGGGTACACCGACGGGTCGAAAACGGCGGAGGCGATTGGTGCAAGGGTCGCTGGGCAGCACCAAACTCTCCATAACCATGGAAAGTTTTCCGAGCATCTTCAAGCCGAGGTCTATGCTATAAGTCGGTGTGTAGAGATAAACCTCCAACGCAACTATTGCAAGAATTATTACTATACTCAGCGATAGTCAGGCGGCATGAACGAACTTGTGTCAAGTTGGCCGCTCTGCAGCCTCTACAAAATGGTAGGATCGCAACATTCATAACGGTTGGTCCACATACCATTAAAGAGCTGCTCCATAGGGAGGAAAGAGCAGGCAGCATACCTCAAAATTAATCTTCTATCTATACCCATCATTTCAACCCTCCTAGTCATCTGAAATGAAATAAAATATTATCAATGTGCAATGATGTCGCAATTGTGTGAACTAGCGATAAGTAAAAAAACATTTTTGACAAAATGGCGGCTGTTTGAAAAAACCATTTCTTTTACCATTTTTTATATTCTCGATATTTTAAAATAGTAAAAATTGACGTTTGGGGATGAGGCTAGTTAATTCTAGAGAGGTCTATAACGAAGATCCTCTGAAAATTTTAAGTAAATCGGTCCAGTAAAACTCGAGAAATCGTTGGTATCGTATTGAAAAAGTCTGGTCTGAGAAAAATGCATTTGAAGTTTCGCGTAAAGTCTTTTGTTCAATTAGACCCAGCCGAACCAGTTTGGAGGTCCAGTAAATGTCTGTATCTCCGAAAATTTTCAAAAATCCTCTCGAGACATATTCTTAAATAGTTAAACTTTGAAAATATGAAAAAAAACTTTTTTGTTGAAATTTTACCTTAGAGGGGGTATCCCTTAATTTTTGACAATAATATACATACATTGTACAAGAGGACCATGTCTCCATTAAATTTTCCAGTCAAAATGGTTGCTACAATAATATTTCCTGTACTCTTTTTGATTACCAAACGTGTACCATTTCATAATTGAGATAAATTGAAATTACTCTAAATAATAATAAACAATTATCAATCAAAGATTATGTGTGGATAATTTACGTTTTCATTTTCATCAACAGTAGCGAATGATTTAAATACATCTGATAGTCTGGACCAGACAACTGTTGTAACTGGAAACTAATTTCATCAACTTAAACACCTTTGGCCGCTTATGTAGCCCGAATACTAAGCTATATGATCCAAACAATTACTTTTTACTTTCTGGAATAAGTTTTTTTCGTGAAGTACTGCGTATTTGGTTATATTCTACCATTCCCAATATCTACAAATTTTATTATATCTGAGGATGGATAAGTTTGTATGTTTGCATATATTTGTGTTTCAACGCTTCACCATAAGAACGATTACTTAAACATTCGTTAATCTCATTGCGTTAAGATAACTGAAGAATGACTGGGCTGTCGAATCCCAGACAGTGGTAAAACAGCACCACCGAAAACTTATCGTTGTCGTTTAAAGCTTATATTGTTCTGTGCAATGCTTTGAGAATATTATTTAGCAAAGTAGTCGCTTTGCAATATCAATGCGAGTTTCTATTGTGATATTAAAATGTCTTACCGGTTCCAAATGGTGTGTCCTAAAAACAAACCGCCATGTTCAGTACCAATAATCAGTATAATCCATATACAAAATTACTGTACTCTTGCAGTAGCTATGTGTTGTATTGTTATTTTTTATTTTTGAAGTAATAAAATATTTAAATGATTCTTACATGAACCCATGCTCATAATTTGAAATATATTGTATTTACCAAATGTTGGACTCTTATCATAAAGAGATAAAAGTATCCTTTGTCCATCCCCTGGTTCTAATCTATCAATTTTCAGCCACGGTTAACCCGTTCTTGAGTTATAAATTGTAACAAGAAGACTCACTTATAGTGCTGTTTTTCTCTACGTAAAACTATCCTCGGTATTTCAAGCAATATTGAAAAAAAAGAATTAGCGAAATCGGTTCAGCTGATCTCGAGATTTGCGCCTAGCAACACATTCATGACTTATTTTATATTATAGGTACTACGAGTGTATTCGGTTAAGATGCTATTGTATATCATACATTAAATTTTTTTATTGTACATATACTATTTAATGCAGTGAAAATATTCTTTACGAATAAAGACGAAAATGGTCGGTATAAGAATTCAAGGGATTCTACTTGAGGTTTGATATCGAAAATGATTTGTACAAATTTGTCTATGGAAAAATTACGTATTTTCCATTTGGCATTTTACTAAAAATATAAAATATATACATATATATGTAAGCATGTTTTCATATATATATATATATGAATTGTTTTTAAATTGGGGCTTAAACTATCCTACCATTTATGTTGGATCCACCTAGACACAATGTGCTAAATTTTACTGAAATCGGTTTGAGTTTAGGAGATAACCCCGGACAAAGCGTGACAAGTAATTTTTTTATACACATAAGATAAGCCTAATTTTAGAGAAACAATTTAGGTTTATATAAACAAAGACTTACACCAGTGGCCAAATAAAGCTTTCACGTCAGATTTTGCAATTATTTTTAAATTATTGCGGATTTACTAATCGATTTTGCTGAAAGTTTTTAAATTTATAAAATGGAAAATACTACATATATTTTATGTAGAGTTTTTTTCATAAAAGATACCAAATTTTATATTTTTCATTATTAGAACACAGAGAGATAATTGTAGCTGTTGAATGCATGCAAAATTATGTATGTTTTCAAATATAGAGTAAATTGATATTATTTAAAACAAAGTTTTAATAATTATTGAAAACTTCGTTTGAAATTTCTCCCACTTTTTTCAAGAGCATTTTTAATAGCTCAGTGTTTAGAGTGCGGTTTATGTTGAGCCAGTCTCTTTTTCAGGTGTGCCATAAATGCTCACGGATTCAAATCGGGTGAATTTGTGCCACGCCATATGTGTATTCCGAGATCTTTTTCTGTACCTGAAAGAAAAGTGATGACATATAGCTAATGATCGAATATTTATTTGGTCAAAATACAGATATTTCCCAAAAATCGGATTATTAAAGTATTTCGATTTAAAAAGAAACAGTATTTTTACAGTATTCGTTTTATTAAATGAAAATCATCAAAAAGGTAATTAATAAAGACTATCTTTGTCTCCTGCGTTTTCGATTTCAACATCTTCATCTTCTTTTGTGGTTGATGATTTGTATTTATCATTACGAAATTTGACGAAGCAATTTCGTTATCTAGAGGTAATTGTAAAATCAACACATGTTCAAATAACATTTAACTATATGTTAACTACTTGAAGTGAAAAACTAGTAGTGGAAAAATGGCTGTTTGATTGAATCGCGGTGGAAATATTCACTTACCTCGAAAACGTCGTTTGCGAATAAGAAAGTCATCTGAATTTACTATTCGACAGCAATTTCAGCATGTGCTGCAGTAAAAAACATGGACGTCAGAACTCGATTGGATATGGAAACATTCAAGGCTCATAATCGCCTTAATCGCCTTCAATGTTTCCAATCCAATCGAGTTTTGTCTGACGTCCATGTTTTGTTTACTGCAGCACGACTGAATTGCTGGCAAGGATAAAGTAAATTCAACGTTGGTAGACATTTCTTTATATTCGCACGACGTTTTGATAGTGGAATATTTCAACGCCATTCACAATCTGTTCGTTATCAATTACCAGATTTTTTCACTCGTACAGTAGTTTTTAACATATTGGAGTTGCTAGTGCAAATCTATGGTTTTTTTTATAGGCATCGCACAGATGGTTTTCGCTCAAGTTGTTCATAACTATTTAGACATTTTGGTGTTTCTTTCAATGATGCCCAACCAAAGATTTTCAGCGATTTATATGGTGCTGTCCGTAGATGGAAATAGGCGAGAGCAGAGTCTGAAAATTAAATTAAAGAGCTGCACAAAAGCAAGCAAAAAAATGAATGAAAAATTCATTACGATTAGCAGCCATCTCCTCGGAAATGTATCCCTAATCAATAAGTCTTTGCTTCTCTGCTACTGTAGCTGGTGATAAAAAATCATCTTCTTTCCGCATTTTCAGCGTTTTTTCAAAGGCATTCAAAGATTATGCCACGTCAATTGCCGTAACATCATCATCTTTAATCTGTAGTAGATATTCAGCGAATAACTCGGCCTGATAAAAGAAAAGAACAATATTTAGTTAAGTTGTCAGAATTAAATAACGAATAGGTCTTTTTAACTGTACTTGGACGAACATCAACCAAAATATTGATGATTCGTTTCTAAAAAATTTCTTCAGCTGTTTTTCTCCTTTTCGTGTGCGAGGAAATACGACTTGAGAGTTCTAAACTACGTTTGATAGCTGGTATAAGAGCCCAAAATCTTGTGTGCATATCGCAGCAGTTTGTTACATTCCACTTTGGTATCTTGACAAAATTCCTTCAGTGCCGTCAGGCGTACAGTATTACGGTAGAAATGGGAATATATTGTAACGGATTTCTTGATAAAACGTTTACGTTATAGCTCCCTCTTGAGTTCGATCACTGGATTGTTAAATAAAAGTTTCAAGTTAATGCTATACATTTATCTTTATTTCTTATTCAAACAACTTAACCCTTATTACACGTTATTCGAGTTTACAAGTTATTGCTTATAGCTTTTTACTAAGCAGCACTCTAATCAAAACTGTCCCTGCTGCACGATCTGGCAACCCTTATATAGTAGATTTTTACGAAAACATCGCCACTCGAACATTCTGACAAATACGAATTTCGCTGCTTGCTTGATTCTAGCAATTTATCATCGATTTTATTTAGTTCTGGCATTCGTGTTTGCCACAATATTTTAACAACAGCACACTACGTCAAACAGTATCTCGTGACATTCCAATTTTAATGCGTTGTGTGTACTGTGAGCGACATAGCTGATCCTAATTAAATGCGGGAGCCATGTTTACAACACATGTATACATACCAGACAGCTGAAGTGATGCCCCGCAACAAAGAGTACACCCCATGCTTACTTGCGTATTTTTATTACTTACGTAGATTATATTACATTGGAAAATGAGGTATGTATCGCGACTTAGGGTCTATTGTGCCCTCCCCTAAGTCACATCGACTCACTTATCCCCATTGATGAATTCCAATGCGACAAGTAGCTAGAATTTATTTCTTGAGATTTTGATTACATTTTGAAACCTGTTAAGGTCGTAACCAGCCATTAGCAACCTGACATGGCAAATGCCTTGGATGATTTTTTTTACTGTGATTGAAAATACGGATATCGCAACTGAGATCACTCATTGTAAATAGCAGTTCGATTCTGAGAATTGCGATTGCGCGATAGTAGTTCACAATAAACTTGTGAAATTGCGAACAGTACAGCTTAATAGGGTTACATGTGATCGCAATAGCAGAAAATTTACAGCTTTCTTTTTTTAAACATTTTGGATGTTGGGATTAAAATATACCTTCTGTATCGAAATTATTATCGAAGTTCACAGTTAGGGGTGAAGTAATTGGCCGAACAGAAGATTCGTTGCAGTGGTGGAAAACAAATAGTTATAAGTACCCGTACCTGTTACCAATTGCTCGTGAAAAGTTAGGATGCTTAGAATCATCAGTGCCTTCTGAAATGTTATTTTCTACGGACAGAATAATATTAAGCGAAAGGCCAAAATGCTATTATTTTTAAATGCAAATGTTAAACACATGGGGATGTTCGTGTCTCCATCACTGCGGCAGTATAGCCAGGCATCATATTCAACGCAAAAATATTGCAGCATAGGTATCATCTGAGTATCTGCAGCAAACAATATTGGTGCATTTATTTGCTTGCTCGATCATCCCTCATGTCTCAATTGTATAGATATTTAAGAAATAATCAGAAGTTGCAACTGCTAATGGAATTTTTTAAATTAATTCTATTTTTAATTTTATTTATTGTTAAAACCAAATTTGAAAATTAGTTTTTTTTTTAGTGGCGATCACAGTGATTTTTAAAATAGTAATCGCTGGAGTCACAGATATCGAAAAATCCCTATACGCTCATCGCTAGTATATGAAACGATCGGACAAAGAAGAACAAAGTCATTATATAAACCTACAAGTAACAAAAGAATCTGCTGTTTTCCAAGAATTTTACACAGCTGAAATCACCTAATCTAAATTTGCCTTTTTTGACATAGAGATGTAAGTAAAAGGAAACAGTATAACTTTTTTGTGAAAAGGTATTTGTAATGGAAAACACTAATGAAAATTTACGTGAATATTTTCGAAACAAACGTTTATTGCATTTTTTTTTTCTCCTCACCAATTCTGACGTTGTAATTAATGTAGGCTCGATCTTTTTTTGAATGTTCGATAATACATAATATATATATTGTGACAAACGCGGATGATAGAACAAAATCGAATCAACGATAAACTGCCAGAAGCAACTAGTTAGCGAATTCGTAGTTGCCAGAATGTTCTAGAAGCAATGTTTTGTTACAGATTTACTATATAAGGGCTACTGGATTGTGCAGCAAACACAGTTCTAGTTAGAGTGTTGTAGTGATTAGTTAAATTGATAAGCTATAACAGAAGTTGTCAGCTCGAAAACGAGCAATAAGTGTTAAGTTGTTGGAATAAGAAATAAAGATAAGTGTGTAGCCATTAGGATGGGACTTTATTTAACAATCCAGTGGTCGAACTCAGAGTGGACAGTGAACTGATTTATCGAGAATCGTTACAATTGGGTCAGAAGTGGATTGTCAAATAAATCAGGAGATAAATTTTTGATGGCCAGTTTAAGATCTGAAGATTCCACAAGAAAAGGACTGGAGCAACGTGGTTTGGCGACAAATGGATTAACTGATTACAATCACGGATTGAGAGAGGCCATGGAGGCGGAAAACTTATATGTCGAGGAATGTTTCACATGGTGAAGAAGAGAGCAACAAAGATAGAAGAAAAGGAAGAGACTCAATAGTCGTCAATGTGGACATAAACTATGGTTTTGCGCAATATCAATCGTCAACAAATATCAGACACAATTTAAAGACAAAACGCGATTGTCAACGCATTGGAAGAGCTGTTCGCAGCGCGCAACGATCACATTTTCAGCACAGTTGTGCAGCACAGAAAAGCTCGACGTGCATATGGCAGCAGTATCCTCCAGTTGGAAGGAGGAAGCATGGACGGTCTTCATTGAAGACGCTTGTATCATGAAGAACTGACGAGCGTAATGCCATGCGCAGTGTCTCACAGTCGGAAGGGAGGAAGCGTGTAGTCGCAGTACAAGGTCTGAAGTCGAAAGAGCTGGAACTGCACGTATGTCAGGAAGGTGTTCCCACAGTTGAAGGAGGAAGCGTGAACAAATAAAGGTTCTCGGATTGGCAAAGCTTGGATACCAGCACCGTGATGCCATACAGTTGGAAGAGCGAGCGTGTGTATCTGAGTGGAAGATCAACATAAATTGAACCTGGAAGCAGATGACTCTGTGCAGAAGATCCAGAATTGAAGGTGCATTACATAGAGTTGAACCAATGTACAGCAATTGGAGAAAATAACTGAAGGCCAGTCACAAAATCATATTGGGCAGAGCGGGTGGTTAAAGTTAGTGTGGCTGCGCGTAGTATGGAAAAGCAGCAAGCAACCTTCCAGTACTTATAATTTGTTCAAGGGTTGAGTCTGATATTCTTAACGTGCAGTACAGTAATCCCAGAGGGCGCGGTATGAAATCACTGAACGGCGGAAGCAAAGGTTTGTGGACTGGTTGTCAATCAGCCACAAATAGGATTGCGAAATATGCCAGAACGTGTAGCAAGGATCAAGGTCTCCAGGTCATGGGCAGATGAAACGCTGTTCTGGTGCCAGTTGAGAAAATAGCGTGGCGAAATGGTCGACCCCACAATAAATTAAAGTAGTCATCTTTGGTAGTCAGGACCATTCAATGAATAGCCACACAGTATATCCACACAATTCTAACCAAAGGCTGAACCAGTGACAGGCATTCATCAGCGCTCAAGTGATAACAAGATTGGTGTTCAATGGGTACGTTCTGATCGAAATGGAATCTCGTCAGCTTTAAGTCGAGACCTTTAAGCAGTATCCGGACAGATGATCCTTCGAAGAAAGGACGGCTGTGATGTCGCGCAACCCACAAGACGCAGATGAAGTACCACGACAGTCGTTCTACATGCCGCAGGAACAGCCAGTTGTTCCAGCAGAACTATCAACTCAATTCTGCCGCTATATATGCTGGTAGGGATTTACCGCTTTGTTTATGGCATCGCAAAATATGTCCATCGGGATCGTCAGGCTGATGGAGAACGGTATGACGAACACGGATGTCGAAACAAATCGATCAACGACAACTGCGGCGCTTCGTTAGCAATTCAGCCGTTGGGACAGCAATATTTTGTTACGTTGCTATATAAGGCTGGATTGTGCAGCAACACAGTCGCGTTAAGTGTATGGTAATTGAAACGAGTGGCTATAGCAAAATTTGTCAGCTCGAATAACGAAGCAATAAATGTTAAGTTGTTGGAATAAAATACAAGATAAGTGTGTATATTAATGGGACTTTTATTTGTAATCAGTAGTCGAACTCAAAGTGAGTTACAGGTAGACGATTATCGAAATCGTTATCATTAGCCGCTGCCAGTTGTAAATTTATAACATAACACCGCAACACTGAATTTGGGCCTTTTAATAGTAAGTTAGTACAACCGCCAACAAGTGCTGGTACGCATATGGATTGGTTGCCTTGGAACATACAATGAATACTGGCCAAAACTTGCTGCAAGTGAAACGCAAACGGGATGTGTATGAATATTAAATATGTGAAAAGTGTAATGAAAAGTAGATATAAAAATAATTCAAGTACAATAACATAGCGATGTCATGTAATAATAGAATACATTCAATATTAAGATGATTCTGCAAATCGCTGCGGTGGGACAGTTTGAATAAATTTATTCCCAAAACAATAATTGTAGTGCTCAAGATGTTCTGTAATAAAATTAAAATTCCTGTTACCTAAATTTGGCCTTGTAATGTGTAGGTATTCACTACATTCTGAAGTTAAGGTGTGGCGCAAACTCTTTGAACAATAAGCGGGTAGGTATTATGATGTGTGTGTGCGCATGTTAGACCACCATGCCAACAAATTAACTGTAGCGCCTGAAAAGTGTTGTGTAGCCGAACACCTAACATGAATAATTTGCTGATGTGAGCGACAAGTGTATTAATATAAATATAAATATCATTGAATGCAAAGTATTCCATAAGTAAACAACCATAATACGTATTTGTTTGGCGTTTTGGTCAATGAAAAATACTGCAGTAATGGGTGTACTCTTTGGTGCAGTGCACCGCTGCAGTTCTCTGGTACTTCAAATAGTCATTCGGTGATGGTTTATACGCTGAAAATGGTTCGGTCCCGAGCGTTGCCAATGCTTTTCTGTATAAGCAAAACTGTGTCTGTATCTTTTGTATTTTAATAAGCAAATTTCAGAACTTTATGTATATATATTTAAAATAAAATAAATATTCGTTTAAAATTATTTTGGTTGAAAAATTAAACAATATTTTACATAATGTAGTAATGGTTTGATATCTAAAAATAATCTTTTGTTTTGTATTACATTTTACGAAAATAAGATTTTCTGCTGTCTCTCTCGTAGATAGGTGAATGATGTTTAGAGGCATATAGATAATACGTCAACCATTTGCAAATTCTCTCAAGGCGACTTATCTTATTCGTCCACCATGATGGTTTGTAAATCGAAGATATGTATTTTGCAAATTTCAAATTAAACATATCAAATGATTTTGAGCAAATTCATAATATATTAATATGATCAAACTATGTTATGTTCTTGTCAGCCTTTTCTCATAAGTGTTAGTATTCAGTACTTCAAATTACTATGTAATCAACAGTAGGACGTACGAGTGTTCAAATCTATAACAAAATGAAATTAAATTCAATTAACAATGTGTTTCTATTCTTTCATTTCTAATACTTAAACTCAGGGTTGTTATAACGTTGTCCATACCTGGTTTCCAAATTAAGCATGTTATATGTCAAACAAATTTCTCCGTATCTATATCCAGTATTCTTACAGTGGGTGTTATATAAGTGGGCAGTTGAAATCCAGGACTACCTCTCGTGTGCAAGTGGTTGATATTGTGGTGGTGCCATCTAATGAGCACCTGTTGGCTTAAAATGTTAAAAGTACACGGCTCTAAAACAATGTACATAAAATGTACAGCAATTTGATCGACAATATAATATTTTACCTCCGGCAAATCGGATAACCTCGCCCATTCTCATATAACGGCTAATGTTGGCGTACCACCTCTTGGGAACTAATCGACCAAATTCAGCATGGCACTAACTTGATCATCTGCTTTACGGTATAAAATTAAGCGCAATGAAGATATCATGGATAAATTTTGCAATAGACCGCTTTAGATATGCCATCTCAGGCTTTACAATTGACAAATCGATCAAACTTTGCAAACCAGATACGAATATGTA